GCCCGAAAAAACCTACAACAACCCATTTGTCTTTTTTGTTTCAAATACCTATAGATGACTACAACCGTGTGGAGCTTTCAGCAATAGCCGGTGACCCAGGATCTGACTACATAAATGCAAGCCATATTGATGTGAGTCATTTTCACCAAGAAGCATCTAAACGTTGAAATACTATTCATTATCTTCTAATTCTTGCAGATATATAACAACTAGTATCTGTTAGCACTTATGGTATAATAATAATATGATTTTTCTATCATAGGGTTTCAAAGAACCAAGGAAATACATTGCTGCACAAGGTTTGCTATTTTTCTTTTCTTCACCCTTTTTGTTATCTTTTGTATTTTTTCTTTTCTAAGAAAATAAAACAAATATACCTGTCTCATTTCCACCTTCTATGGTTTTGATTTTTCTGGGGAAATAAACTATTGATAATGATAACAAACTGATAATCTAAGATATGAGGGTTGAATGAAAAGTAATGCCTCCACCTTCATAACTCCTCAACAGATGGCAGTCCTGGTATGCGGCAGGTACTGGCTTGTTCAGTAGACTCTCCTCTACAGTTCCATTTTGGCAGGAAGCCTTAGCATTGAATGGTTGTGTTGTTAAAGTGAAGAGTTTGGAACCCTGTGCAGACGGTCGGTCAATGCGACTTAAGCAACGTGCAGTCATTGAATTCTTGACAGCAGAAGGTGTCACCTCAACATCTTTAAACTTACTCACCCAAACACACAGTACTCACATCAACACAATCACCATAAACAGCTTGCATTCTCTGATTAATCTCCTTTGGGGTGACACCTTCTGCTGTCAAGAATTCAATGACTGCACGTTGCTTAAGTCGCATTGACTGACCATCTGCGCAGGGTTCCATACTTCGCACTTTAACAACACAACCATTCAATGCTAAGGCTTCCTGCCAAAATGGAACTGTAGAGGAGAGTCTTCTGAACAAGCCAGTACCTGCCACATATGAAGGGGAAATTTATTTATTTATTTATTTATTTGGAGTGCTTCTACCCCGCCCTTCTCAACCCCCTAGGGGGGACTCAGGGCGGCTTACAAAAACAGGCACAATTCGATGCCCAACAATTCACAAAGTACAATATACAATTTACAATTTAACATCAGCAATTATCACTAGTTAAAACAATCACATCAATACAATAACAGTGGTAAAATCATCCTGTGGTCAATGTTCGCCGATTTATAATTCCATAATCCATCCAGCATTGTCATTGTCCTTTCCTGCTCTGGTCATCTTTGTCTTTGTCCATCTGCGAGCTTACCCAAAGGCCTGGTCCCATATCCAGGTTTTTAACTTCCTCCTGAAGGAGAGGAGGGATGTTGATGACCTAATTTCCCCAGGGAGTGCATTCCACAGGCGAGGGGCCACCACCGAGAAGGCCCTGTCCCTCGTCCCCACCAGTCTCACTTGTGATAAAGGTGGGGCCGAGAGCAGGGCCTCCCCAGAAGATCTTAAACTCCGAGGTGGGACGTAGAAGGAGATACGTTCGGACAGGTACTGCCATCCGTTGAGGAGTTACGAAGGTGGAGGCATTACTTTTCATTCAACCCTCGTATATGCACTTTACAGTACATTCCAGAGTTATAACAAGGCCTCCATGTGTTTATACATTCTTTGAAGTCTGAATTTTTTAAAAAAGCTTTTTATTGTTATTTATTCTAAGAACTCACTGCTGCTGTATTTTTGCTAAATCAAAGCATTAAGTTACTCATTACGATGATCACTATTTTTAGTTCCTTTATGATGGATGGCTTCCAACTAAAAAAATAAGAAACCAAAATAGAAAAAAATCTCAATATTTATTTATTGTGTCAGAAGCAAATTGAGAATAGTTATAATGTATTCCAAAAAAAAAAAAAACCACAAGTTAAAAATTTGGCATTATACTAGATTTCCTTTGACTAGAAACTGGTCATTTCGAGTGCCTCTGGTGCTGCTGTGCTAGGGCTCAGACTACATTGTAGTAAGTGGCCTGTGGTTTGCTCTGCTCCACACTTGCATGTCGTGACTCCACTTTGAAGCCCCATTTCCCAAGATTGGCACTGCATTTCACGGTGCCAGAATGCAGTCTGTTCAGCGAGTTCCAAGTCACCCAATCTTCTGTGTGTCCAGGAGGGAGTTTCTCATCTGGGATCAGCCACTAATTGAGGTTCTGGGTTTTAACCTGCCACTTTTGGACTCTCGTTTGCTGAGGTGTTCCTGCATATATCTCTGTGGATCTTAGGAAAATAATTTAAGATGTTAGCTTACTGGTTGATTTCCAAACAGAGATTTCAATGCCTTGGTCCTTTCATTTCAGGCTGCTACTTTTTGAAGGATGTTAGGTGGTGCAATACCAGCTAAACAGTATAAGTTCTCCAGCAGTGTAGGGCATAGACATCCTGTGATAATGTGGCATGTCTCATTAAAGGCCACATCCACCGTTTTAATGTGGTGAGATATATTCCACACGGGGCATGCGTATTCAGCAACAGAGTAGCAAAGCGCAAGGGTACAAGTGAGACCTTCAAATAAATAAATATGAAAAGTTGCTGCTACTTGTTATATCACTTTCAAAAGGAACATTTGTATGCAAAGTAATGCATTAGAGGTAATATTGTTATCTATATAATGTTATTTTCACCTGTTTCCTTTCTACTCTGTAGCAACTTGCCAAAATGAAGTTTCTGCTTGTTCCAAAATTAAATTCTCTTGATGCTTACGGTTAACTCCAAGCATATACTAAAAGAAAGAATCAATTGCAGTTGAAAATGCTGGTCTTTGATTAATTTTAAGTGTTTAAAATAATCTCTTTACCAGGGCCCAAGGATGAGACAACAGATGATTTCTGGAGAATGATTTGGGAGCAAAAGGCAACCATTGTTGTTATGGTGACTCGCTGTGAGGAAGGAAACAGGGTAAGACATATTATTGCAGTTACTGTAAAATATTTACTATTGTTTCTTTCATGCATTCCTTTTGCCACCACAATAACTGAGACAATGTACAAAGGCATTTGATGATATTGTAGTACATCATATAAAAATACTAATTATTACTGATAGACTTGTGATTTGTTTACTTCCCCATTATTTCTTTGAATTAGAAAAGGTCTGCTTCCTTGAACAGCGTTTATGCAATGAATTCTTTTGGTGCTCTTTCTCGTATATATATTTACTTCTAACTTCCTGGCATTTTGTCTGCCTAAGAATGGATCTACACCAGAGGTCCTCAAACTAAGGCCCGAGGGCCAGATGTGGCCCTCCAAGGTCATTTATCTGGCCCTCGCTCAGGGTCAACCTAAGTCTGAAACGACTTGAAAGCACACAACCACAACAACAACAATCCTATCTCATCAGCCAAAAGCAGGCCCACACTTCCCATTGAAATACTAATAAGTTTATATTTTTTGAAATTGTTCTTCATTTTAATTATTATATTGTTTTTAAGTGTTTTTGCACTACCAATAAGATATGTGCAGTGTGCATAGGAATTCATTCATGTTTTTTTTTTTCAAATTATAATCCGGCCTCCAACAGTTTGAGGGACTGTGACCTGGCCCTCTGTTTAAAAAGTTTGAGGACTCCTGTTCTAGAGGCATTCTCTCCTGACGTTTTGCCTGCTTGCTATGGCAAGTATCCCCAGAGGTAGAAGATTATGTTTTTATTATGGTTCTTGACATTAGATGGCTTTATATTTCTGTAGATCAAGTGTGCCAAATACTGGCCATCCATGGAAGAGGAGAGTGCAGCTTATGGGGATATCCTTGTGAAAATTAATGAATGCAAAATATGTCCCGATTACAACATTCAGAAGCTGCACATCACAAATGTGAGTAATAATAACACTTGGGGAGCCTTATGTACACTCTTCAGGTAATCCTTATGACTCCTGGAGATGTTGTTATCTATGCAATGGAAAGTTGCTTAGCATCACTTAGTATGTTCACTGGCTGCGGAGAAATATGAACCAACACATTATAGGTGCAAGGATATTTCTCATTCATATTCTATTATTTCAATATATGCATTATGACATGTTAGCTGCCCCGAGTCCCCATTGGGGAGATGGTGGCGGAGTATAAATAAAGATGATGATGATGATGATGATGATGATGATGATGATTATATATTCTTACTTATTTACTTAGGCGATCCCTCGTTTTCCGAGGAGGATTGTCTTCCAGTATTCTTGTGGGTCCATATGTGGCTGTGGAGCCCTATTCTTGCTCTGCATCTTCTTCCGCAGTGAGGGCATTGGTTTCCAGGTGGAAGGCGGTCTCGGTCGGGGTTGGCTTGACGCGCCTTCCTCTTGGCACGCTTCTCCCTTTCACCCTCCACTCGTGCCTCTTCAAATTCTGCAGCACTGCTGGTCACAGCTGACCTCCAGCTGGAGCAGTCAAGGGCCAGGGCTTCCCAGTTCTCAGTGTCTATGCCAGAGTTTTTAAGGTTGGCTTTGAGCCCATCTTTAAATCTCTTTTCCTGTCCACCAACATTCCGTTTTCCATTCTTGAGTTCAGAGTAGAGCAACTGCTTTGGGAGACGGTGGTCAGGCATCCGGACAATGTGGCCGGCCCAGCGGAGTTGATGTTGGAGGACCATCGCTTCAATGCTGGTGGTCTTTGCTTCTTCCAGCACACTGACGTTTGTCCGCTTGTCTTCCCAAGAGATTTGCAGGATTTTCCGGAGGCAGCGCTGATGGAATCGTTCCAGGAGTTGCATGTGACGTCTGTAGACAGTCCACGTCTCACAGGCATATAGCAGGGTTGGGAGGACAATAGCTCTATAAACAAGCACCTTGGTATCCCTACGGATGTCCCGGTCCTCAAACACTCTCTGCTTCATTCGGAAAAATGCTGCGCTCGCAGAGCTCAGGCGGTGTTGTATTTCGGTGTCGATGTTGACTTTGGTGGAGAGGTGGCTGCCAAGGTAGCGGAAATGATCAACATTTTCTAGTGTTATGTATTGTATAACATTCTACTGAAATACGATATTTGCTTTGGAGAAATAGAGGAAGTATGGAAGGAGATACAGAAAGTAGTGTGGGGTGAATAGAAGTGGACCTCCTGATACTTTCTGACTCAATTATTTAACCAAAGTTGCAGTAAAATGTCTCTCTTCCATTCCTAAATTATAAAGCTGAAATAAGGAAACATTCCAGTAGTGGTATTTGGTGAGCTCTGTGTTTAGTTCTAGTCTAGTATTCAAAACAAATTGCTCTGGGCTGGGGATGGTGTAGAAGCATCCATATGAAAGACTGAAATCTTCTGTCTCTTTATACAGAATAAACTGAGGAAGTCACCTTGCAGGCTTCTGTCACAGTGTTAGTTTTGTGTGGAAGGC